AACGAGAAAACATGCTCATTCATTGTTCGATGATAAGCAAAATGGGGCAAAAAAGTGAAGCACAAAATAAATTGAAAAGTACACATTCACATATTTATTGTTCTAATAATCTAACAAATAAACAATAATTTCTTATTTTATCACTAATTAATTAAAACACTAAAAAAGATTCCTTTAGATCAAATCCCATCTTCCCCAAATTAGGATTAACTGCAAACTGGATCATCGGCGGCGGTCCACAGGCCAATGCCAAGGCATTTTCCCATGCTGCCGGAATATGCTCTCTTAGAATTTCTTCATTTATAAATCCCACACTGTATTTCCAGTCTGGTTTAATCGATTCAGACACAACATACCATACCTTAACCCTATCCTTAAACTCCTCAGCCCACGCATCAAGTTCATTCCTTAGCAGAATGTCATTCTCGGTACGGTTAGCGTATACGAGGTACATTAAAGTTTCATCCTTAGGATCCTTCAAAATGGCCTGCATCACTTGATATACCGGTGTAATCCCTGACCCACCGGCGACCATGGCAAGTTTTTTGGCAAACTTGTGTTTGCCATGCACCAAGAAGTTCCCTTTGCCTGTGTATTCAATGTGACCTAATGGACCCTTGATGTCCAAAAATGACCCTAATGGGAGTGAGTCCAAATATTGTGACATTAGCCCACCATTTGGGAATTTGGGGTGGACCCCCTTTTGGTAAATCTTGACCACTAGCTCGAAATAGCCCATAGTGTCGACTCCACTTGTTGGTGTATATGCTCGCATGCATAGTTTATCGTTGATGGTGGCACATAGAAATATATGTTTTCCAACGGGTAGTCCGAGAACTTGATCATTGGAAGGCAATGCAAATCGAAATGATCGAACATCGTGGGAAAGTGACGTCTTGGAAATAAGCTTGCATGAGACTTTCTCACGCGGAACAAGTGCAACATTTCTTGCGGGTGCAATTTCCTTGATAGAGGTTAAGTGTAGGAGATTACCAGTGGGGCCATGGACTGAATTATTTGGAGAATCCGAGGTATATCCAGTAGTAATCAATTCACCAATCCTATAATCTTCCAACATTTTCTTGGCTTTATCAGAATGGATGGCTTCAAATTCCTCGGTACAATCCGTGCTTGCGTTGATGAGGATGCTGTCGGTCCCGCCTGGGTGGTCTTTAAGGAAGCGCGTACAGTCGTAGACGTGTCCATGGACGATGATCCATGCGGAGTCAGCCGAATTGTGCTTCTTAACCTCGGACATTGAATACATAGTTGAAGTAGTGTTCATGAATGGTGACGAGACACTCTTTTTTAAGGTTTGATTTTCGTTTGAGGACTTTTCGAGTTGTCTCTCTTTCGCCATCCATCCACCGGATTGGTTTCCAGGTTGAGTTGGGTGCTCGAAAACAATCCCAATTTCTCCCTTGTGTGGCTTGCAGACATTGGTTTTTACTCGGAACCAACAATTATTCATCATTCCCTGAATGATTATAACACAATAATAATTAGTCAACTAATTATCCTAAAAATTTAGATTATTAAAAATAATTCTACTCATCCTCGACTCATACCATGAGATTCCAAATGAGCTTCTCGGGTTGTGTGTTAAGGGTCTCATCCCAAGCTCGAACACAAATTTCTTTAGCACCAAGTAAATCCAACACCTCCACCTCGAGTGACCAAAAACACCAACACCAATATTTTCCGTACTTGTTAGGCTTTTCAGGGTGGTCGACGGTGGCAACATGCCAAGTCTCGCCACCATCCATAGTTATTTCCACCCTTGTAACTTTCTTCCCACCACCTATTGATCATGTAATAGGTTAGTAAAAGTGATTTGACATTTCATGCATAAAGTCCCTATCAAAATGAAGTGTGGTCCAATATCTACAAAATAATATTGAACAATTATTTATAAACATCAATTGAAAAAAAAATTAAAATTAAAAAAATTCGAGACCCTTAAATTTTAGGGGTCAAGTGCATAATATTAAAAATCATCTTTTGAAAGTAATTCTTAATTATTATTAAGATAAGTAGTTACAATTTTAAAACTAACCTTTTTTTGCCCTTTAAGTGAATTCACTAAAAAAATCAACTTTCTATACTTAGCCAACCATGATCTAAGGTTTTTGTTGATTTAAAATGGGACGATCTTTTTATAACCATTCTTTTAGTCTCGATTGCAATGATTAAAAATGTAAATATTTCAAAATATAATTTAGAACCTTGGCAGGCGCCCCTCCACATGGCGCCCCTGTTTTTAACCCTGTTCCCAAGCTAGGACAAGGACTGGTGGTTTTATCCTATAATTTATATCTAACCCATGATGTTGGAACTTTATTAGTCAACACTTTGTCACAAATCAATGATTCCCCTACTTGCTCAATTAATTATAAGTAGATACCGTTCAATTAATTAGATTAACAAATATCAAAACTCTTTGCTATTAACCAATAACGTAATTTAATTAAATCGTATTAACGCGCTCTAATTTCTTGGAAATGTGTCCAAATATGATTAATTACTATGGTTCAATTAACAACCCTTCAAACAAAGAAACAAGTGTTTCGATCGTTAAATTTTGTTTCGTTACTATAAGATAGGTCGTGGACAGTAGAATTATCCACAATTGACAAGAAATTGAGATATGCAATCCATCTAATTAATTATTGACATATCATTTTAAATTATCTCTAACTACTATTTATGCTTAAAATTAGTGACATTTTAATGTAAGATAATGTGTCAAAAATTAATTGGTGGAGCAGATGTCTAACCTCCTACATTTAGTCCAAAAAGCAACCGCCCAATTGCCCAAGAATCTATAAAATTTACTGAATATAGTACGTAAGGTCCCCAATTTAAATTTTAGACGAGAAGTTCGAAATGACTACTCACCAGAATAAGCGTAACCCTTAATTGTGAAAGGCCTCTGAGTCGTCCACGAATTTATTGGCAAAATTTCTTCGTGACATGGGGTCGTAATCACTGAGTTGATGTTCAACTCGTTGATAATATGTTCCGGCTTGTACCACCAAGCTGCAAACAAATATCGTCATCAGAGCCAAAATTAGATTTTAATTTTGTTTTCTTCCTTAAACGAGTGGAGTCGAGTCAAGTCAAGTCGAGTTGATTAACGTTAGACAAAGATTACCTTCAGCATTAGCAAGTTCAGCATCAACATGGGATGGAAGGACCTTATTGTCCTTGTAATGATAATAACTGTCTGATTCTTGTGTAGTAACAATAATTCTTTTAAGCCATTTCACCATTCTTCCGCCAATGAACCCTGGAATTATCACTCTAACAGGGAATCCATGATCAGGGGATAATCCTTCCCCGTTTTGCATGTAAGCCAAGATAATATCCCTCGATGGATCCATCGCGATTTCCTTTCGAATACTGGTGCCGTATTTCGACCCACCACCGCCGGGCAAATCCTCCGCCCCCTCGAAGCAGACGTTGAGAGCACCCTTTTTACGGCTGAATATCCCGCACCGCTTCAAAATGGCGCGTAGTGGCACACCCCGCCACACGGAGGTGGAGATTCCGGCAGCTCCCCAGTTGAAGCCAGCTGTCTTCTTAACCATATTTTGCTCTTTTCTCCGGTTCCCAGCGCACACGAGGGTCACTGGGAATTCCTTGCTGGGAAACTCGTTTACAAGCTGGTCCATTGTTAATCTCACGGGACGTTTTACTAGACCGGTGATCTCAACGGTCCAATCNGGTAATGAATTTTCAACCTTTAAATCTCAATATCCTTCTCTCTTATTTCCAAAGTGCTGTCTTGTTAAAGATTCCTAGAGCACTTTTCTATATCCATTTACCCTTCAAAATAATGTTATTCATCCCTAATAATGATCATCACCAGTTTAGGTGGCATTAGATACCTTGATTCATAGTCAAATGCATTAAAATGCATCAGAATTCTATCGGTCAATGAATCAGGGGCCACTGCCACCCGGATTGGTGATATTCTACACTAATGACGAATAGCATTACTCTTACCCTTTTGGACACTAGCCTATTACCTTGTAAAGCAACTTCTACTGTGTGAAAATCAACCACCAGTACTGGAATATAAAAAGAAAAGGAAAAGAGAGAATAAAGGCTAGTCCCAGGATAAGATGATGAATCACGCCTTATGATAAATGAGTAAAGGAGACACTATTCCTAGTATGTGACTCAAATTTAATTAAATCCATTTGCATACATCAACCTTAAATCAAAATTAGGGACACTAGTTGTCGCAAGATTCACATCACCCTCTTTCCTCTGAAAAATAAAAGGGCACAGCTAATGTGCATGAAGTTATGGGAGCAATTTTCACAATCCTAGCCTTTGTTTGAGCCCAATTCTTTGGAAAAAAATGCATTCTTAAATACTGTTTTGACATCATTTCAACCACACATTCTTCAATAAAATAATATCACGCAAATCCAAAATTTTTCCTTATTTTTTAACTATACATTTCACATCAATACATTATTCAAAAATGCATTTTTATCACAAAAATGGGGCTCAAACAAGGGCCTAATATATATTGATCATAAATGTAAGTAGACTTGTCATGCTACATAAATGTTAAGAAAAGAGGGCCAATGCAAACCTCAGGAGCCATCCAGAATGGAGTCCCCTTGCAAGACTTCACATCATTCAACTTAATGGCCTGCACAATGAATCAACTAACAATATTATGTGTCATAACAACAATCACAGTATAATATTTCCAAGCTATTTAAGAAGGCCTTTTTGATCTGAAATGGAGAAAAAAGAAGCGATAATGAGAGACTGCAACCTTCGCAAGGCCGAAATCTGCAAGTTTCACCGAGCCATTTGCATCCACCAATATATTTGCACACTTAATATCTCTGAAACAAGAGAGGTGAACAAATGAGATCTTGGTGTTACAGAATCAGCTGCCATGAATGAAGCACATATAAACATTTGTTATTTGTTAAGCATGAACGAGAAAGAGGAGAAGAGAAACATCACATGAAAACATATATTACTACTAATCAAATGATCTGTCATTCTTCAACATGCACTTACTAAACTTCCATTTTTCAGTTTTCTTGCCTGTTAAGATTACAGTGCAACCTAAATACAAGTGATTACATAAATAAGAGAGACATCATTAATCAAAAACAGTGTCCTAACATGAAGTTCTCTAGTTCCATAATAAAGAACTCTGACTAAAATGATTCTGTGTTATCCGACTCTATTTTCTTGGAGACAGTTCAATTAGCTAACAAATTCTACGTAGCATTATTTGAAAATATAAAACAATATCATCAACTTGACTTCAAGAGCAATTTCAAGCATGATACCAGTCAATTTCAATATAATCTGCTAAAGGAAAAGGACAAGCTTTGATCAGTTACAAAGAAAATGCAATTTAGAAGAGTAACACCTTTTAGAAAATAGTAAACTATTTTTTACTCCGATCAACAGCCAATTTGGAACCATATAAACATGTTTGACTAAGTCCCCAGAGAAAGTAAACTTCTAAGTTTAGTCAGACATGTTTGAAACTCAAAAAGTTGCTCTTTCCCCAGATACTCTTTTCCAGAATTTTTAAACAGAAAAGTGTTTCCTTACTTTTTAAATGAGCAACTTAGCATTTTTCTTTAGGATTCGAAAAACATGCTCATAGCTGGCAATACTTACCATATTTAGAGAAAGAAATCAGCAAATGGTTAATCCTACTTCAGTTCCTTAAACTAAATGGAATGCATACTAGAAATACTCCTACAGGTTCACATGCATAGGTTTCATTGGTCTTGTGTTAATTACATTCTCCAACCATATTGCAGCACAAGAAGGAAATAATGCAGATTGATCTCTAGTGTATATGCTTGATGTAAGTAAAGCGTCTGTCAATAACTATAAATATCAAAAAATGATGGGATAAAGATAAAGATTTGAAGTGAACTCAAGAAGAAGATCTACACAAAAATGTAACTTAGCCATCCATCTTTTTTTCCTTTCTCCTGTTAACTGTTGTATACACCATAATATCATCTACCATAAAATATAAAAGAGGTAGCTCCTCCCCCTTCCCCAGCTCCCAAGAAAGGGTTAATGATAGAGAATTTTACAGAAAGAAACAATTCAACAATAAATACTACTCTATTTGAACGCACATGGATAAAAAATATCTTAAGTGATAAAGAGTATGAGAAGTGTAACTGCAACTCTGCAAATACTCAAAACTGTCAGAAAAGCAGATGCAGATCAAACATACAACACGTGAATGGGTGAAAATTTATGATTTAGGGCCAAAAAGCTTTTGATAAATTAGCAGATTTTGATATAAGATGATGAAATGTATGGTTGGAAAATTGATAAAGTCGTGGCCTCGATTAAAATTGAAGTTTGATCAGTTGAAAAGTTGATAAAACTTTTGCTAAAATTTTATCAAACAAGGTGTTAATGTATGTACATAACAAAATTTTTTGGAACAAAGCCAAAAAATAAAAAATTAATAATAATAATAATAATAAATATTAAAAGCAGAAAAACCAAAAACACAGAGTTGTTTGGTTCAATCACCTGTGGACCACATTTTTGTCATGAAGATACTTCAAGCCATGTAAAATCTGTCTAGTATAAGCAGAGACCAGCGAATCTCGGAGGTTGTACTTTTGGTAAAGGCTCAGAAGGGATCCTTTAGTAACCAGCTCAAGGAAGATGTAAAGATGTGATTCAACCTACAGGAAAAAGAAAAAAAAAAAGCATTCTAATAAAATTTGTAACAAAATAAATTCAGGAAAATTAAGATGCGAATGAAAAACCAAAGGAAGAGAAAAAAATGTTAAGCTAAGTGGAAGGTTCAATTTCAGTGAGCTTCAATTCTGTCAACAAAATAAAATTAGTGGACAACACAAAAACTACTCTATATCTAGTACTTCAAGTTCTACTATCTCTGCGAATAAAATCCAGGAATCTCGCAAAAGAAGCCTCTTTATTGCAAAAGGAAAAGTATGGGAGCTTATAATGGTGAAGTTGAAGAAACAAATAGCAGGTGGGAACTGATGCTAAAAGCAAGAAACACCCATCCTCCACTGACAACCAAAAAAATATAATGATTAAATAAAGAATATGAATAGTTATTTTGCAAGACGGTATTACCTTCTGCGTACCGTAATACTGGACAATATTCTCGTGTTCAAACTGACTTAGAAGAGCAATTTCCTGAATGGGTCAAAAGAAAATGTCTATTAAAGAACTGAGAAGTTGCGGGAAAGGCAGAGAGTAATAATCAGAGCCATTGATAGAGTGAATCTAGAAGCAGGTGCAAAGTCAAGTAAACAATTAGGCAAAGCTCGGGCAGCTAAACCTGTTCAAGTTGGATGATCCTTTGTTTTCCTTCATCCCCTTGATCAAGCAAAGATACTTCCTTCACAGCAAAAAAGAATCCATCACTGCAGAAAAAGCAGATATACAAACATGTTTAGCAAAATATAGCAAATACATTTCATATGAGTTAGTGGTATGCAAGATCAAGTGCAAAGCTTTTTAAAAATATGATTCTTTCAGTGGAGAATTGTGCAATGATATTACAGGATAAGTGAACTTTTCTACACTTAATTATTGAAAGGATCCTTTCTCTATGTTTTAGTTCTTTTCAACACCATGCTTTGGGTCTTTTATCACAAATAAATGAAAGAAAACATCCACCATAGAGAATACATTTGAGAGATTTATTGTCTGAAAAAATAGTTCTTAGTAGCCATTATCTCAATCAGTTGGAATCTATTGAACGGCTAGAGTAGCTCTTTATTTTCCTCAAGGGAAAAAACCTTTCAAACTACAAACTTTTCTTTCTTAATTGATAAACGTTACAATTTTACTGAAATGCGAACATCATATTAAACCCTTGTTTGAACCTATGCAACACAGACACTCTATCTAGGGCAGTGTGTCCGTGTCCGACACGTGTCGATACCAACACTCTTCGGACACTCTACAATAATCATTTTCCTTTCTTACTATAGCTATTATATATTTTTAACTCAAAGTTATTAGTAAATAACAAATTAATACTTATATTTAAAAGATTTCAAAAAAAAAAATCAATAATAAGTATAAAACTAAATTTAAATTATATAAATGAAGAATTTTAGAGAATTTAATGAACGTGTCGACGACGTGTCGTGTCGGTGCTTTTTTGAAAAATCACGATTTGACGTATCCGAC